GTTTCTTCTTTATATTTGCCCTTTTCCTTTCCTACTTGGCAAGACTTGGCCTTCCGTTCCAGGATCTTTTTGCCGTCTTTGTCCAGTTTTAGCCTGGTGATAACCACCTTGCTGGGGTGAATGCCCACATGGACAGTTGTGCCATTAGCCTTTTCCCGCTGAACCCGTTCAATATAGATGACATATTTCTTCCGGTAAACCTGGACGACTTTGCCAATCTGCTGACCTTTATAATGTCCTCGAACAACCTAAACACCAGAGGATCAAAGAATGAGAATCACAGTCAAGAAAACTGTGAATCATTTATTCACCATCCATTCTATCATCATATCTATAGGACTATTCAGTTTTGAAAGACTTAATCATTAAATATGCAAACAGTTCTTAGTTTTAATTAACTTGTAAATAAATCATGTCCCTATCTACAGTGATGATTATTACACCCCTAACTGATGGCCACCAGCAGTACCAGGCTTGTTAAAGGGAGTACACTTTGGCTTTATGCAGAAGCTGTTAACAAACATGTTACTCTATCTCAAAAATAACAACAGCACATGTACTTAATTCAATGCCCAACTGAACAGTCCAACCCAGTGGTAAATAGGGCGGGGAACAAGTACTTAGTAAACCAATTCTTTGACAAAGGTTAACTGACAGAATTCCCTATCCCAGACATTCTAGTGGTCCTCTGCCTGCCAGGAAGCAACTCAAAGTACTTCTGAACAGACATTCTGTTTCAATTTTATCTAGCACTGCTATATCTTGAAAACAGATAAATCTTCCTCCAAGATCTACAGGCAGTTTTAGCACTAGTACAGCAGGGACCTAGTGGTTGTTCTTTCTTTAGTCATCAGCTGCAGGTTATACCTAAGAAACTCATGGAAATTTTCACTTAGACTTGGCAAATTATTTACTAGTAAACTCTATCATATGGTACTACTACATAGGTCAGTTAGAGCTTCTGAATCCCAGATTATCAGTGCTTCTCTTTTTTGGACCTCAATGATGAAAAAATTAATCCCAAAGTAATTGTTCTGATTTTCAGTCTTGCTCTTTCATTTAGTCACTGCTACATGCAATACTTTGGAAAGTTTGAYTGCAAAGAGAATTGATAGGCACATACTTTTTTTGGTCCCTGGTGCTATGTATGTGTCTTGCAAACCTGTTCTGGGAAGTCAATGTCTCATAAGCATCTCTCAGAATGCAATTCCTTTTGAAAGTGTGTGGGATCATCTGTCAAAACACGAGTAAGTAGGGATACATACCTGAACTTCATCATCCTTTCGGATGGGCATAGATCGAACATTGTACTTTTGTCTCAGCTCTTTGGAAAGAGGGGAAGACATAATCTTCCTGCGAATGTGTGAAGGTGCATTGAAATGCCTTTTGCGGTTCTTGCTTCGGTCAGAAGTCACAAAAGGATTGAACTTCATTTTGGCTAAATAAAAAATTAAACATACCCTTAAATGATCAAAGTCTCATCTAGTTTTCAAACAGCAACAACAGGTTCATCTTTGAATTGTTCACAGAAGACTTCCTATCAGTAACTGCATCAAAAACTGCTGGCACTTAATGGCCTATGAAACGAAGTTCACAATTTAAAAAATATTTGCGGGGATGGTATCTGTATCTTTAGGGAATATAAAGACTTTTCCTTTAATAGCACATCTTTAGYTAAAAGCTTTGTGTATGTGTGTGTGGTGCTGGGAATTGAACCCAGGGCACTTTGCCACTGAGCTACACGGCCCCAACCCTTTTCTGGAGACAGGGTCTTGCTAAATTGCTGAGACTGGCCTCGAATTTGCCACCCTCCTACCCCAGTCTCCCATGTTGCTGAGATCACGAGTGTGCGCCACGGCGACCCGTGACAAACTTTTGTAATCTCTAAACTCCTTAAGTATCGTGGGAAGGAGCCAACACTGTGCTTTCTAAATTAAGAGAAGGCATGTCGAATACTTCAAACATAACATGAGGTTTTAGAAGATCAAATAACGACCTTCTTTTACGAACTTGAGTGTGCACACATTCAGACCCTCCAAAATCAGTCAGCCGCCGCCCCCAACCTTGAGCCTGGAAATTCCTGCAGAGAACTCGGGTCCAAAAATGGTCGAGAGCACTTTGAAAGCTCTRCAAAGACTTTAATAAGCACAGTTGTTTCCAGGTGGTTCTTCAGGAAAATACACTGCTGAAGACTTTTCGAGTCCCCAAATCTCCTCTCATTCCCTCTCAGGTTCGCCTGCCCCTACGCAAGGTTAAAACCATCCCGGCCTCCCTCCCTGGTTGCTATTCGGCCGGCAGGAGAATCYCGGGACCCCCGGCGTGGAGAGACACAACCCCCCCAAAACGGATGGCTGCAGATTACACGTATTGCCCCGCTGACTCCTCACCMGGTGCCGCTTCAGCGATGGCCGCAAAAGGGAAGAGGCCGACACGTTTCTTCCGGTTCTGTAAGTTAACGGGAGATCTCGCGAGATCAATGTCTAAGCTTGAGAAGGGTGGCGAGTTTGAGCGAGAAAACTAGAAAGAAAYCGACGGCTAGCGTCACCTAGTGTCTCGGAGGGGAACTGCGAGGAACTCGTCCTCGGGTCTCCCTTCAGAGATTTGGGCGCTGCAGCTCATTCTCTGGATAGGGTGGTCCCCGAAAGAAAAGCGGGGGTTTACTCAGGGGCCGACTACTCCAGTGGGTGATGAAGGAGTGAGTGGCCCCAGGGCTGGTCCCATCACTCCTGGGTGTCGGGAGGTGGGCGCCCCTTTAGCCAAAAAAAAAGGCAGGTCCTACTTTGTTCCGCCTGGTGGCGTCGGAACCCTGGCCTGTTGGTCACCCTGTGAGCTGGAGCAAAGTGGAGTCCTTCAGCGAGCTTCCTCTGCCTACAAACCCGACACACACACACAGTGACTGCACTGTGGGGCGCACCAGAGATTCGGATCAGCGGGGGCGACGGGCCGTGGAAGGACGAGGGCCACCGATCACCTCCCCCCCCGCCCCCCCCCCGCGGAAATAGATCTGAAAATCCTTATTTCTAAGGAGCTCCCAGGTGTAGCCAAGGGTTCTGGTCCAGACCACACTGTGAAAGAGCCGGGCATAGGGATGCTCAGGGAAAAGGGGTACGCTCCCCTGCAAATGGATTCTGAGGCATCAGTTTCTGTGGAATGAATAATGCAGATGTCCTACTGTCAGGAGACAAATTTCATAATAATACATAAGACAGTAGGGAGTTTGCYGAGTGTTGGGGACATTCTTCTACGCCTTTTATGTTAGCTTCTTTAATCCATAAAATAGTCCTGTCAATTCTGGTATTATTATTGTCCCCATTTTTACAAATGGGTCAGCTGAGCTACATATRAATGAGAGGAACCCGTGAAAAAGTAATACAGAACCCATAGTTTATAGCTGAACCCATGTATGACCCCAATTTGTAGGAACTCGGTGAGGCAAAGCAAAGAGTGACAAACCATATATCCTTGGGGGCTCAGAGTCCAGTCAGTAAAGAACATGTGTTTTCATTAATTTAAAAAATATATAAATATATGTATATAAATATATATGTATACATATGATTGTGTTCTTTTTTGGGGAGTGGGGAAGTTTACTGGGGATTTAACCCAGAAGCAATTTACCATTTGAGCTATATCCCCAGCTTTTTTTTKTTGTTGTTATTGTTGTTGTTGTTTTTCTTTAATTTTGAGACAGGCTCTCACTAAATTGCTTGGGACCTCACTAAATTGCTAAGGCTGGCCTTGAACTTGAGATGCTCCTCTGTCAACCTCCTGAGCCACTGGGACTAGGAGTGAGTCCTCACCAGGATGGTGAGTTGTGTATTTAAATAGGCTGTGAAGGAAAGAGCCCTGGATTTTATTTGTAATTAAATTCAGTGAGATACCCTTTGCAGCCACTCCACGAATGCTTATGGAGCATCTTTCAACAGGCCAACACTGAACTAAACATTGAAGCTACAAATAAGGCAGAGAATTGCTTGAGGGAAGCTGTTGTCTAAGCTCCAGACCAAAGGAAAAACAGCTCCCTGACGTGGTGCATGCCTATAATGCCAGCGACTTCCAAGGCTTAGGCAGGAAAAYCTCAAGTTCGGCAATTTAGTGAGACCCAGTCTCAAAATAAATAAAAAGGGAAGGGGGATGTTGCTCATTGGTTTTAATCCCCAGTACTGCAGCCCAACTTTTTGTGCTCCTGGCAGAAKAGAGTGCTGGAATCAAGGAAGACTTCTGGGGTGAGATCACTCTTGACTGGGTTTTGAAGAATGTTAAAATTAGCTCCATAAGGCACTGGGAATAGCTGGAGGGAAGGTATGGCGGTGAGGAGTAGCGTGACATTTTCTTTCCAGGAACCAGATCCTTGTGGCTAAAGAGAAAGGTATTCAGTGGGAAGTCCAGGGGCGCTGAGGCCAAATGAGTTTGATTTGGATGCTGAAAACCATAGGGAGTCTCAGAAAGCTCTTAGCTTGCCTTCCTCTCTGGTCTTCATAGTCTTAAGGAAGAGGTTTTTCATTTCCTTAAAACTTTCCTGTCTCCACCCTTTTCTTCAGGTCTCCCTCATCATCTTCCTTTTCTTCCTACAAAGACCCACTCTGCTTCCTTGGCTCCCATCATCCTCTGCTACCACCCTGCCCTCTCCAGCCTCCGGACTTCCCTTCCTCTAACAACGAGTCATCACAATTAAACCTTCAGCCCACTCTTTGGACAATGTACCACTTCATACAGTGGGAAGGTTGTTGGCCTATTGACTGTACCCAGAGATGAAAACTACCAGCAGCCTAGTTATAAAGCCTCTTTATCTTAACCAGTGCCTGTTGGGTGCCCTGGCTCCACCCTGCATGATTCTCTGGCAGCTAGTCCAGCCGCCGTCTTTCCCTCACTTCCCTATATTTCTCTAACATGATTTGAAAAAGATCCATTAAATTAGATTAGGTCTTTGTGAAGCCCCTAAACACACCAAAGCAGGGTTTGTATCTAGATTTCATACCTAAAGTGGAATAATTTTTTTTTTCCTAGCCACCAAACCATCACATTCAATTCAGGTACACTGGCATACATGCATTATGCAAATATTATCTTATATTCAGCTCTTACTATTTCTAAATTCTGTATCAAGATACTGGAGATACCGAGATCTTTTAAGATCTAGCCTCTCTCCTGAAAGAACTTTGCCTAGAAGAGGAGACAGACATGTCAACCAAGAACATGTGCTAGGAAGATGATGGGGTACAGTGTGTGTAGGGGGAGCATAGCTGTGATCAGTTCCCCTGAGTTAGGACATGGGAAGTCTTAATAGGTCACCCTGTTCTGTTTTTGGAAAGCTAGGAAGATGGGGGCGGGAAGCATGTTCCAGGGCTCAGTAAACTATGTTATGGTTCCTTAAGCTTACCTGGGAGGCCTAGACTGTCAAGTATATATTAGAGTTAAATATTATTATGACAATGGGAGGTGGCAGTGTGTGTATGCCTCTGGACAAGGGAAGGAAGAAAAGAGCAATGGAGTTTTGACCCCGGGCATCCATCCTCTAAATATCTAGTATCTGACTGTCTAACTACTTACCTACCTACCTATCTATCCATCTGTCTATCATTTATCTGATGGTATCTTCCCTGTAGAGCCCTGACCCCAGGCTGGTTGCTTAAAGCAAACGATTTTATTTAAGAAAGAAGAAGAAAGGTAGAGAAGGGGAATCAGAACAAACACATTAAATAATAGGACCAAAAATATTCTACAGAAACTTAGGAATGTTGAGAAGATTAAACTTTTTGCCTTACTTATTGAGGGTCATACTCTTTTTTTTTTTTTTTGTACTGGGGTTTGAATTCAGGGGCACTTGATCACTGGGCAACACACCAGCCCTATTTTGTATTTTATTTAGAGACAGGGTCTCGCTGTGCTGCTTAGTGCGTCACCATTACTGAGGCTGGCTTTGACTTGCAATTCTCCTGTCTCAGCCTTCAGAGCCGCTGGGATTACAGGTGTACACCCCTGTGCCCAGCAAGATGTCATACTTCTAACCAGACAAACGAGTCCCACAGAGCCAGTGGTCAACACTCTCGAGTCACAGGACAAGTGGCTTGGCAGTTCTTGAATGTTCTCAGGTTGGTCTCCTCACCAGGCACAAAGAGTGTACACTGAAGATCTTTGGCTTCTAATATTTTTCAATTTGATTTTTTTTTCTGGGGTCTCATACTTGCTAAGCATGTGCTGTATCACTGAGCTATATCCCCAGCCCTCAATTTAATTTTTGCATAAATAAATTATACATAAAAAACATAAATAGTGGGCTGAGATTGTGGATCAGTGGTGGAGTGCTTGCCTCACATGTATGAGGCACTGGGTTCGATTCTCAGCACTACAAAAAATTAATAAATAAAATAAAGGTATTGTGTTCATCTACAACTAAAAAATACTTAAAAACCCCACAAATAGTCAAGTGAAAACTCTTCCTCTTATCTCATCAGTTTATCATCCCCTTCCAGAGGGATAATAATAATTAATCATTGTTATTAGTTTTTCATGTATCTTCCCAAATTCTTTATGTAGAAATAAGCAAACAAAAATATAAATTCTCATGTCCCCCTCTTTCTATATACATTGTAGTATCTGATATCTGCTGTTCCACATCTGGATTGTTTYCATTTGCCATTGTGTCCCAGAGATGTTCCTCTTCATTTTATGAGTCCTTTCCTGTTCACTTTATAACTGCACTGTAGCCCTTAGCCATAAGTTAAAGGACCAGAAGCCTATTGATTAGCATTCGGGGGTTTCCCCAATCCTTTGTTATTCTAAGCATACTGCAATTATATAATATTATACACACGTCCCTGCTCATACATGTAAGTGTATCTGTAGGATACATTTCTAGAACAGAAATTGCTGGAAACTTTGATAGAAAATGTTAAATTTCCCTTGATAAAGAACTTTACCATATGCATTCCCACCACCAATTCCCCTACCTACCTCAGCCTCAGTGGCAGAGAAAGTTCTCTTTCAGGGTTTGATAAGCAGATTAAAAAAAAAAAAAAAAAACAGAATGCCAGTCGTGTGGCTGTGGCTCAGTAGTAGAGCACTCACCTGGCATGAGTAAGGCACTGGGTTCGATCCTTAGCGCCACATAAAAATAAAATAAAGGTAGTGTCCACCTATAACTGGATAAAAAGGGCTGGGGATGTTGCTCAATGGTAAAATACCCCTGGGTTCAAAACCCAGTCCCCCCCCCCCCCAAAAAAAAAGAATGCTGTAAGAATTTTAAATTGCATTTCTTTTACAAATAGATTGGTGTTAAGGGGCATTTGCATTTGTATTTTCCACGGATCTTTTTAATTCTTACATGAATTACACTAAAAGTCCAAGCTCAGAACTTCCCACCTGTATCACAGAGTCTTTGGAATCTTTGAGAAAATATATACCTTTATTTAAAAAATAGCTTTTGGCATTCTTTGAAAATAAAAGAAGTACCATCTAGGAGTTACTGCTGAATGATATGAAAACACTGCAGGTATTTTGAAAGAAACTCTGGGCAAATACAACAGAATCTGAAAAGACTTCAATGAGGTCCCTAGAAATTCACAACATTTTAAAGCAGCTTGGCTGAGGTGAAGACAGACTCATTAGAGTCTTTGCAAAGTTTATTTTTGTCCCTAAAATAAATACCCCCCATTCCACTGGCACCCCCCTCCCCATAGCACCTATGTTCTTCTCTGGTCTCAAAAAAGGCATAAGGAAGCTCATAAGTGTTTTAAATTTGATTTTTTTCCTGGGGTCACAAATGTCCCTGCATTGTGGACCCTACTCCCTAGTAGTCCCCAAATGATGACCACCTACAGCTATTTGGGAACCAGATAAGAGGCACAGTGCTATTTTTCTCCCTACAGATAGCAAACTTTGATAAGGGTTGTGGAAGGCTTAGTTTTGGCACCTGGTGCCAACCCCCTGTACTTGTGACAATAGCTGGAGGTTTTTTGCTGCTTTCCACCCTCCGTGCATGGTTGGCTTACGGGCCTCGGACAGCCAATAGCTCTACACTTGCATACTGGTTCCTCAGGCAAGACCCACTGTGAGCTTTTCTGGTGGGCCTCGTCAAGGGTCCTCAGATGAAGCAGCCTTGGATAGCAGCTGGTTCTCGGCATTTGTTGAGACAGCAGTGTCCCCGCCAAGCACAGCTGTTTTCTTCTCCACCCTTCCTCGCCCAGCTTGGCTTGAGAATCCACCTCAGGAACTGGCCCAGCTGGTGCAGCTTCTAATGAATGGTTGGGTCATGAGAAGGAGGAGGACCTGGGCTGGGAGGGAGGCGGGAGCCCCCAGGGGTTAATTTGCCCACATAGTTCTCAGCTGACTCCAGTCTGGCCTGTCGAGCTTCCCCTCCACTCCCTGCCTTTCATTCCACTCCACCCTTGAGAACCCCAAAACTTAAAATCTGGCCCGTTCCTTGAGAGGTAGGTCCAGAGGACTCAGATCTCTGACTCAGTTTGTGGCCTCTGTCAACAGCCCATGTAGCCTTAGCTCTCCCGGCTGACCCTCTTCTGTTGCTTCCCCCAGCCAAGCTTGGGCCACAGCCTCTGAGATCAGCTTCCCACTCAGGGAAGATGTTCCAGGCTGGTGAATAGAAGACAGGGAGGATTGGGATGCTGGGAGGGTTGTGTACAGGTGCTAAGATTCTGGGAAACCTGAACCTGGKCCCTGGCACCAACTCTACTACTTGTTCTGGTTTGCATTAGAAACCTAGAAAATCCCCAGTGAGAATTCTGGAAGAGATCTGCCACTGGGCCCCCATCTGGCAAGACACAGGCCAGCAGAACTTCCTTGTTCTGAAGGAGGCCCCCTTGGCTTCAGGCTTGTCACCTGGCAGGTGACTGTACCTTAGGGCTGGTGACCCCATGGGCAGTGACCATGGATCTGCCCAGGCTGCTCAGTTCTGGCCTAGAGGAGTGGTATTTGCTGAGGATACACATGGGGCCACAAGTGGAGCACYTGCTTCTCAGGTCAGCTCAGCTGTCGCCTCCCTGCCACGCTTTAACTCCTGCTGAGACCGGGTGGGTGAAGGTGGAGCACAGCTGTCATACTTCCAGCCTCACGGTACTGGATCCCTCTCTCTGTCCAGRCTCCTCCCTCAAAGCGCGTTTGCGACCAGGGCTCCCTCCGCCCCCACCCAAGCCATGGCTAACCAGGCTACAGAGCAGCTCTCAGGCTGGACCTCACTCCTCTGTCCCTCTGGGTGACACCACTCATGCCTGCTTCCTCACCAGCAGCACCCAGGGCAGGATGGCTGCTACCACAGCCACCACGGCGATGAGGGTGATGAGTAGGAGGGCCCTTGACCGACAACAGAAGGAGCGGGTGGAGCTGGGGGCGGGGGACACCTCCGAGAGCTCCGCCAGGCTGCGACGCGGCAGCACTGTGTCCTGCTCTCCCAGGGGCATCCCGTGGCGACTGATGATGAAGATCTGCGACTCCCGGGGCAGGCTGGGCAACAGATCCAAGGAAAGCTGGGTGCCCTGACTCGAGGATGGTCTCCAGACCTGCTGGGAGATGGCCAGAGGGTTTGTGTGGCCCCCACGGTCTGGCGAGGGCACAGAGGGCAGGCCCACCGGCACAGCCAGGGTCTGTGAGCTCTTGTCCAGCATGGAGGGCCAGCGGGAGCTCTTCTTGCTGAGGAAGGTGACATAGCGGCAGATGGGGCAGACGATGGTCCTCTGTACCTGCCCGTCCACCTGGGTGGACAGCAGATACTTGACCAAGCAGTCGTGGCAGAACACGTGGCCGCAGCTCAGCGTCCGGCTAGCACCCTCCAAGTCCCGGAACTTCTCGTAGCATACAGGGCACTCGCTGCCCGAGCTGTCCTTGCTCTCCCCTTCGGACATGACCCCTCAGAGAAGGCAGGGTTTAGCTGATCAAAGGACAAAGGTGGAGGATCATGAACATCCAGGTCTTTCTTCCTCCTTCCCCCTCCCCCACTTCCTAACTTCCACCCACACCCCTGCCTAAGGGATTTCTCTAAGCTTTGTCTTTGTCCCTTCCTCTTCTTTGTACTCCCAYTCTTTCCTCTTCTGCTGCTTCTCTTTAGTGCCCTATCTGATTCAAACCAAAACCTAAGACCTAGAGACCTAAGAGTCTTAGGAAGCAGACGCACAGAAGCTTCTGGAAGGGGCGCTGCAAAACAGATGAGAGATCCAAGCCACGCTGGATTGTGAAAGGAGGTGTGAGGAGTGTGATGAAAACTACCCCCAAGTGCCCGATGCCTCACCCCAACCATGACATGTACTCATGGTGAGGTCACTACCTCACCTCTTCCTGGTCCAATGCAGAAGTGAAGACAGGAGGACCCAGTTCCCAGGGCAAACAGAGAGCTAAGAAAATGTATGTCCTGGCTCAGTCCAGTCTTTAATTTGGGCCTGTATCCAAAGTGGCCATTTTTCAGAAACCACCCACTACTTCTTAACCTTTCCCCCTCCGCTAGGATTGGCTGATGCATGGAATTTCCTCCAGCCACTGGATTGCATTCCTCTGTGCTAAGGGTGGATATAAAGCTATTACTGTTTTAAAAATAAAGCTCAGCTATAAAGAAGAATGAAATTATGGCATTTTCCAGTAAGTGGATGGAACTGGAGACTGTCATGCTAAGTAAAATAAGCCAATCCCAAAAAACTAAAGGCCAAAGTTTCTCTCTGATAGGCAGATGCTAACACTTAAAACCAATCTGAGCTGTGAAAGAAAACAGGATTTTTCTTTCATTCATTATACTCATCTCTTTTAGCCATCTCCAAAATTCAGGCAGCCTAACTTACTGAAAACAACTTTTACTTAAGATCAAGAAAGGTTAAAAGGCAGGAGGGGAGGAAGAATAGAAGCTCACTGGATTAGACAAAGGGGAATGAAGGAAAGGGAGAGGAGATGTAGGAAAGACAGTAGAATTAATCAAACATAACTTTCCTGTGTTCATATATGAATACACGACCAGTGAGACTCCACATCATGTACAACCACAAAAAGGGGATCCGAGTTAGAATAAGTTATACTCTATGTATGTGAAACATGTCAAAATTCATTCTACTGCTCTGTATATCTAAAAAGAACAAATAAAAAATATGTAACATGTAAAAAATAAAATTAAAAAAATAGGGCTGGAGATGTGGCTCAGCGGTAGCGCGCTCGCCTGGCATGCGTGCGGCCCGGGTTCGATCCTCAGCACCACATACAAACAAAGATGTTGTGTCTGCCAAGAACTAAAAAATAAATATTAAAAATTCTCTCTCTCTCTCTC